TGCCCCCCATCCTGCCTCCCTCCCGGTGCCGTCAGGCCCAGACATTACCTCATCCCGGCAGAGGAGCGGGAGCACCCCTGGGGCAGGGAGACACCCACCCTCACCCCCACCTCTCCCTCAGCTCTCGCCCCGCCGGGGCAGCCGGGAGCATGGCCATGGGTTCCCATGCCCGGCCACAGTGCCAGGGATGTGCCTTGCCGCTGGCATGGCTCTATGGCACGGCACAGCTTGGCTCTACGTCAGCCCTGTGCTGGGAAGCAGAGGCTGCCCTCCCCTCCCACCGGGGATGCACAGCCAAAGGTGAGCGGGGCCCCGAGCGCCGCACACAGCTCCCAGGCACTGACAGACAGACAGACAAACGTGGGCAGGCTGTAGTCATCTCCAGCATGGAAGAACTCAAGGCGCTTGGACCCAGACCAAGTATTTCCTCAAGTCCTGTTCAACATGAACATAAAAGGAGCGAGCCAGATTCCCAGCGCCGTCAGAGGGCTGAAAAATCCCTGCTGCTGAGCCCCGGCCCCTCCTTGCCCGTGTGCAGGGCCCGGCTCGCCCCAGAACCACGCTCCCCTTCCCTGTGCCAGCACTGGCCAAACACCACACCCAGGCTGGATGCGGCCCAGGTCCGCCTGCATCCCACTCCTGTCCCCAGTGGGACATGGGTACCCCCTCCGGTGCCCCCACACCATCCAGCACCCACTCCTCCTGCCCGGCACAGGAGGGTGCCCTGGGCGGCAAGTGGTGCCGGCCGGCTCCTGGCCACACTGCTGCAAGGCCCAGCTTGCTGCCCTGGAGGGCTGGGGAAGGCGCGGGGCGGCTGCGTGGGTTTGGAGGCAGAAGCGGGAGCTGGGAGAGGTTTTCACACGGCCGCCCGGGAAGGGGAGAGCGTGGCAGGGGGGGGCACAGCTCAGCTGGGAGCCCTGGCAGTGCCAGCCCTCCCGCTTCCCGCCCGGTCCCACTAACCAGGGCTTCCTTCCTCCGCTCTCCACCCAGCCTGTGCTTTGTTTCCCGTGCCTCCATCACCGCACCCAGTGAGATGCCCACTGGCCGCCCCTGCCCAGGGCTCAGGTACCCCACACAGAGCCTCACCCAGCCCGGAGGGCAGTGTGGCATGGGAGCCCTGGCAGTGCCAGCCCTCCCGCTTCCCGCCCGGTCCCACTAACCAGGGCTTCCTTCCTCCGCTCTCCACCCAGCCTGTGCTTTGTTTCCCGTGCCTCCATCACCGCACCCAGTGAGATGCCCACTGGCCGCCCCTGCCCAGGGCTCAGGTACCCCACACAGAGCCTCACCCAGCCCGGAGGGCAGTGTGGCACCTGCACAGCAGCATCCCCCAGCACCTTCCTGCCTGCAGCACTGAGGGTCTCTCCCCTTCCCCGGCTGGCAGATGCCAGGACATGCCATGCAGCATCCAGCTCCCCAGATGCCAGCCCTTACCCTGGCTCCACCACAAGCAGCTCAGGACCACAGCCTCACAGCCTGCCTAGCCAAGGTGTCAGGACCCCAGCAGAGCTCCTTGCTGTGAGAGGTGCATGTGCATGGGACCAGGAGGCCACCTCTTTTGTGTGACCACCGAGCTGAAGCAGCCTCACAGCTCACCCAGTATCATCACAGCGATGGACACAGCCAAGAACCAAAGCACGTGCCGGTGCTGCTTCCCCCCTGTGCTCCCCGGCTCCACAGAGCAGGACCCTGCTGCAGCCCTCAAAACCAGGGCAGGACACCTCCTTCCAGGCCACCCTGCTGGCAGCCCCCTTGCTCAAGGCAAGCAGTGGCCAAGGACACCAGCGTGCTCCAGGCAGGAGCTTTAGGGCTGGGGATGGCTCCGGGGTGCAAAGTAGAGCAGGGTCACCCCTTCCCATCAGACAGGGTCCACCGCCCCACCATGCAGCCCAGCCTCACCAGAGCGCCACCCAAAACTAGCTACATCCCCTGGGAATGTCCTCGCTGCTCCTGCCTGCCCTGTTCAGGATGGCAGCACTGCCCAAGGCCTGAGGGCAGCACTGGCCTGCACACACAGCAGGGCCATTGCTTCACGAGGCGCCTGCCCCGGGCCCTGGGAGGCTCCTCCGTCCGACCAGACCCTTTGTTAAGCGCTGGCTCGCAGCCAAGAGAAACATTTTTTAGAGAATAAACTCGCTGAAGCCGTGTCTGTGCGCTCAGCAGAGATCAGCAGGCCCCAGGGCAGCGGTGCTGGTGACTCCAGCCTTGCATAGTGCCCCCAGGGTCCGCGCTCCATGCTGGGGTGCTGCAGAGACCCATAACTCCGGGACAGGCACATGGTGCCAGTCTCGTGCCAGGGGCAGGCCCCCACACGGCGCTCAGTGCCACAAGTAAAGCCGTCCTTCGAGAAGCAGCTTCTGTGCCAGCTGCTGGAGCATCAGCAGCATGGGCAATGCAGTCGCATTCCAAGGCTTATAAGGCAATTGCGTGGCCGGAGCAGTGACCAGCATTCACCCAGGGGACTGGGCCGCCCAGGGGCAGGGACACGCACACAACCCAGGGGCCAGACCGTGAGCATCACACCATGAGCAGCTTGCACCAGGCACTTCAGCCACGAGCAGCCAGCAGTACAACGGCTCTCACTCACTCTGGAGAAACGGGCTGGTTCTGTGGAGGGAGCCACAGCCCGGGCAGCAGCACAGGCTTCTTCCCCTCCCTGCCCATTCCAGGGCCCGCTTGGGTGCAGAGCTGGGAGCTGTGCAGCCCGAGGGAGAGCAGAAGGGCATGAGCTGGGTGCTGAGCCCAGTGTCACAGTGCAGATTGAGGAGCTGTCCCCACTGTTTGGAGTCGGTGAGAGCAGCTCCCCTCCCCCTGCAGTGGGCATGGTCCGGAAGGGGCCTCCCCTGCCCCCCCAGCAGCCAGCATGACTCTGCAGAGGCTGTACAGCATTTCTCATCTGCGGTCCTCTGCCCGGAACACCCCCATGACAGACTGCAGCTGATAAGGCTCCGAGGAGGCTACGCAGAGCCAGACAGGGCAGGACACAGCGCTCTTGGGCCCCTGGCTCATCCGCATCCCCCATACGGCTCTACCTTCAGCCACCTGGATGCAGCCACCATGGCTCCCACCCGCAGAGGTAGGGGAATGATGGGTGTCACCGGTTGCAGCTTCTCTTACCCTGGAGATGGAGAGTGGCATGCTGAAATCCTTCCCTCCTTGCAGCCTGAAGCCCCAGGGTGCTGGCCCATTCAGCATCACCTTGTAGGACTCCATGTCACCCATCTCTGCAAGGGAAGAGGGTGTGATCCTGGCATTAGGGTACACGGGAATGATGCAGGGAGAGCAGGCGAGGAGGGGGCCCAGCGCCTGGCAGGATGAGACAGGTCATACTTCCAGCAGTAACTCCACCCTGACCATCCTAACAGTGTGGTTAGAGACGCACCCCAAATCTATCAGCATCTCCTCCAGCAGCGTCAGAGCCAAGGGGCTGAGGCTAATGCTGACTCGTATCAGGGAGCCAGGTACAGCCCCGCTGCCACCCGCAGCGGAGTGCCTGCGGGATCCGCTCTCCCTCACAGCACCCCAGAAACTCACGCTGCTGAAAGCTGAGACCGTTTCAGACCGCGGAGAAGCAGCAGCCTTTACAGAAGGATGGGAACCAGAAGCGTTTTTGCCAGGTAAATTACCAGTCGCAGCGCAGGAGCTGTGTGAAGCCACCCGAGG